AAAGTCAGCTAGTGAAATCATTTATTTACGGTATATATATATTAAAGTGAGAGCGTCGAACGCACTCTCATAATCTCTGATTACTACTAGTTATTATTATTATTATTATTATTATTATTATTATTATTATTATTATTACACAAACTACTATTATACCGTAAAATGCAGATAACACACCCGAAAAAAGGTCCCTCAAATGTAAGACGCTTTTTTTTTTACGAGTTCTCTCTCTACCTACCAGAATGGCCAATCCACTCTATGACATGCGCCTGCAGGGAATCATGGTAGTTGTATTACACATTTGCTTTGATGAATACAACTACCATGATTCCCTGCAGGCGCGTTTCAGGAAGAATGGACCTTTTCGGCGATACAGCGGCCATTTTGAATTCTACTGTTTCAAATAGCTATTATGGGATGCTCAGGGGTAAATTAGTATGTACTTGCCCCTAAGCATCCCATAATAGCTATTTGAAACAATAGAATTCAAAATGGCCGCTGTGTCGCCGAAATGGTTCATTGGTCATTAGAATCTGTAAAACTGTGAATATTGCAAGGACGGTCCAAGACGATGAATGTAATTTAATGCACTACTCATCTTACCCCACAACTTTTTCGTCGTAGATCCATGTTTCCGGGAAAAACGATCTAACCTGAGTTTGATCAAGAATTTCTTCATCACTCGGGCCAAAATCTCCGAAATCCACACTTCTTCCCAGCAGGGCTGCGTCTAAAATTGTAAAGAAATATAAATACACACAGAAAATCACGTGAATATATGAAAAGATCATATACCCGTATTTGAAGGCGTGATTGATCAGATCGCAGTTATACACATAACTTACGCAGTATGTAGTTATATATACACATAACTTAGGCAGTGTGTATTTAATTAAATTTAATTTCACAACTGCTAACGTTGTGTCTACAACTGCGATGATCAATCATGTCTTCATACAAAGAAATCGTTTAATACGCCGCCCCAAATCCGGAGATAATACGAATGTAAGAGACGAAAACGCTTAGCTGGTTTTGATGTATATCTAATTTATCCAAACAACCATATGGAAAGTAACGAGAGTTAGAAATAAAAAAGATTATCTACCAGAGTATTCCATACAAAAACGGGCGATTTCAGGGCCCAAATGGCGATATCCCCCAAAAATATCCACTACAAAATCTTATTCCTGTAGCATCGCTGTAGTGATATAACTCAAACCAACCTTGTAAGTTTGTCATTTGAATGTCTTAATCTCAATACTTATTTGGTTTTTCGACTGAATTTAAAGGCAATTTTGTACATCAGAAAAAAGAACTTAAGATATGGCAACATCTCCTTCAAGTCAATCGGACACTTTCTTACCTTTAGCGCCAAATTTTCTCTTGCAGCATTTCCAGATGGCCAGTTTGCATTCTTTCAACTCCATGTTGTAAACACGGTCAACGCAGGACCTGGTGGTATTCTCTTCACCCATTTCACAGCATGTCTTGTAAACTGGTGAATCGAAATCATCAACATAATAATTTAACCTGCGCACCAATAAAACAACTGTCTCTTTGTCAAACTCGGAAAGCCTAAGAAAATCAGCGCTTCAAGGGCATTCGAGCCCATAACCGTAGCGACGAGCCACGTGCACGAACGCGCACCAAGCATGCATGCCAATTTTGAGCCCTGTTTATACTCGTAAGGAAATTAACTCTTCTAATAAATGCATGTGAATCGCGAGTTAAACAATTATCAAAAATAGAATTTCACGGTTATACAGCAACTTGCGATTTGATAAGATAAGTAGCAAAAACGATCGATTTCCATTGTCACCAGTGTCGCATTGTAACTAAAGGGTTTCTATTTTTACCTGAATCATCTTCTGTACTTCTCTTCTTACGAGCGCTATTTTCATCACAGCCATAGTCTTAAAACAAAATAATAAAATTTCACAAGGTCAAGCAATGTTTTCTTCAGTATGGCTACCCTGTGTTCTAACCATTATGGTTATCTAGGGGAGTCTGTACTTTTTTTTAATTATTTTGATACGTACATGTAATGATGCAATTTGTTACATGTATTGCACTCATGTAGATCGTGAGAAATTTTGTTTCTGTGCACAGTCATACAATTTGTTTCCGGAGCTTCTTCTCTCTATCAAAATTGGTCCAATTAATTAGAATGACGATTCACAGGGGCGTTTTGACGACATCTGTCAAATTGCCTTGAAGTTACCAGGACTCAGTTACGTGCATGCACATGTGTCCCATCCTTGTTCTCCTACAATCTATCTACTCGACTCCCTTGAATGAGATATCCGCGTCTAGTATCGGTTAGAAATATTCTATGACATTCCCTATACCTTGTTTTCTGCAAACTCACCTTCTCTTCCATCACTGACAAAGTTGTTAGTCATCAGAATAACACCAGCGTTCTTAAAAAAGAAAAACTCGAGCACTTAGCTCTTGAGTTCCTAAATAATGTTAACATAAAAAATCCGAATTCCCGCCTCTTTTTCAAAAAAGTACCGACTTATTTTTAATGCAGCATGCACTTAAACTCACTTAAACAAGTGGGATCCCTCTTTAGGTTATTAACTCTTAAAATACTGTGCTCCTTGAAATTTTCCACCATTGCCCTATTTTGTACTTAATAAATCCCGGAAGTTGACGGTCAGCTATCGCGCGCTCTTGTTGATTCTCCTGAACTCTCACAGAAATGGAAGCTGCGTGGAGGCTGAAAAGGAGGCAGCCTGGCCGAATGGTTATAATTGGAGCGCCGGACTTGAAATCCGGAGGCCGCGGGTTCAAGTCCCGCTCTGACCACTTAGCTGGAGTTATTTCTCGGTAGACCCTAGATCAACTCAGAGGTCATGCTTGTAGATATCCAACTGGTCTGCCTCACTCCAGTTGAGACTTTTAAGCATATTATGTTTGGTTGATGTATTTGTTTCTTTCAGTTAAAGTGGCACGCTTGTGAACTAGCTAGGTGTAGCTAAGCGCATTGACCACTATAAACAATAACATTTGAAGATGAGGTTTAGGAAGAATTCTTGTTCAACTGATCTTGTTCTCCTTCAAGGACTTTGGTCTTCTGCATATTTTACTTACCTTAAAGATATCTTTGTTGTCTTTTCCTCCACCTACACCGCAACCAAGGTCGAGTTCCTCAGCACTTTTAAAAATCTGAAGGAAACACGAATGGGACAGATCAGTTACCTGAACACGCGCTGAGGGACTGTTAATTTATGAGCGCTCGAACATTTTACGTTTTAACTTAGCATAAAATTTTCAGATAGCGTGATAGAAATTTTTGAAAAAAGTTGCGGTGATTTTTCCGGTGGATAGCTATTAAACTCCTTTGAGGAACTGGAGACTAGGGGTTTTAAGGTGACAATACTCACGTACCCGCTCTTTGGTTAGTCTGTTCTTATTTCTCAACAGGTAAACACTTTGGTCCACACTAAGCAGTCCCAGACGCGTTCCTTGAGGAGCCTTAATCTGAAAGACGTAGTGTTCTCCAGGGATTTTTTCTTGTTCGTTAAGCTGAACTAACGTTCCGTCCGCTTGTTGTGAGATTGCATCAGGAAACTCAACCTGTGGTGAAAAAGATTGCCGGTGAACAATGTGAGTTTTATTCTTGTTACTGTTCCCGTTATCTAATTTTCAAATGTGCGTTGTTTGCCGTTACCTCAGTTGGAAGCTTGTCCTCAATTTTGAGCAAAACGCTGTCAGCAACAACTCGTTCATTCGTGTCAATGTAATAGGCAATCAAACGCGCCGATGGAGACATTTCTGGAGTTACACGGATTGACCAGCTTTTAAACATACCATCAAAGTCATCAGTCGTATCATGAGAGAGAATACGTCCACGCGAAACGACCTGAAAGACACGACAATATTGTCTATATTGAATATTGTCCTATCTGTGTAGGAGAGAGATTTTTTTCTCTGGGGTGAAAGGGGTGCAACTGAAAAACGGGTTACTTGGCTTCCTGTTTAGTTACAGAATGTACTACAGGAAACCAAGACGATTGAGTGCACGTTTCTTACAAAGTGCTAAATAGCTAGGGGTCCTCAAACCTGCATGGGTCTGGGTGGAGGAACTGGAATCTCGATAGCAACAGGCCATTTCCGAATTACCTTTAGCCTCTTTCTTAAAGCGAGTCTTGGTGCCCATCCTTTCATATGAAAATGACATTTCATTCTTAATAAGTAGTTTCTTAGAAATCGATTTTGAAATAAAAACTAGCGCTAAAAAGTCACGACGTTTCGACCTCTCCGAGGTCATTTTCAGGTGAGTAAAATTTCTAAATTAGCATAAATATGTTAAAAAACAAGTTATAATACATAAAACTGTGGCGAACGCTAAAATGTTATAAAATATGTGAAAAAGTGTTAAAAATGTACAATGGAAAAATAAAATAATCTTAGCAAGAATTGCTCTAAACAAATAATTTGGCGCGAACTGAATCGCACTGTTTGTTTAGCGTTGGTTTCAATTCTTTGACAAAAAAAATATTTCAAAAATAAGGCAGTTAAATTTGTTCTGACACTTTCTTAAGATTCGAAAACTCTGAAAGTTTCATTCACATGCAAATTAAACTCATTTTCATATGAATGATTGTGCACCAGTCCCCGATTTGATAGAGAGGCTTAGGGCGACTCGGAAATGGACTTTTAAATTTTCGCCGTTTTATCAGCTATTACTTAAACTTTCATACTATTTCTCAGCTATCAGTAAAATTTTGCAGATCTCAATTCTAAGTTTTCAGTTGAAAAAGATCTCGTTTCTCGACAGTCAACATTATGACCAATTCTCAGGGTCGATCATTTATCTGCAAATAGGTGGCGGGTGAAATTTTGGCCAATTGCACCCTATCCATTTCATCTATTTTGGTGGGTAATAAACATGAAAGGAATACTCGATGAGAAAGTTTGAAAAAAAAAAGGCAATAACGCTTACCGCAAATGAAAGTTTGGCCGACACATCATTGAGGCTTCGATAACTTTCACACTGAATTTTGCGACCAACCTGTGAAGAAAAGCTCCGACGTTACGTAATTTACAGTAGATGTCTTATACCAATGATTATGAGACAAGTCCGTGCTATTAATTACAAGCAGGCCACACTCTTAGGCGGAGCAGGATGTGTTAGACTATAAAGTTTCACCAATAGACTAAGGTCTGGTTCACACCAGCGACATAACGACATAACGACATGATGTAAACATCGGCATAAAGACAAGGAAAAGGTTTAGTTTTGTCCTTATGTCGTTTTTGTATGTCGTTATGTTTATGTTTAGAATGTTCACACTGCAAATATATCGACGTAACTTCCTTATTTATGTCGTTATGTTTATGTCGTTATTTCGTTTTGTGGCTAGTGTGAACGAGGCCTTTGATACGGCAATCACTTTAATGATATTGAAGCTTGATTCTAGGAGGGAAGGGGTAAAATAGTCTATACAACAAACTATAATTATACACTAAAAGCCTGAAAAGAACGATAACCAGCTAATTGACATTTTAACACGACTCTTAGAAAGACTATGTAAATATGACATCATTTCGCGTTGAAATAAAGATTGATTTACTCACCTTTCCTGGTGAAAGTTGGCGAACCATAATCAATGGGGCATTTCCCGAATCGAATTTCCTCACCAGGTAAACGGCTTCAGCATTTTGTGATTCTTCCAGTTTTTTATTGTCAGTTTTTACCTGTTGTTAAAAGCAAACATCGAGAAACAATGACATTTTGGCAGGGCAGGGTAGGGTGGGGTTAGGAACTGAAGGGAGGTAGGTGGGGTGCATGTTATTCGTTTTAAGAACACCCCAAAAGTGAAAACAACATCAACAATTGGGTTAAAAAATTTAATCTAGGTTGAGACAAATTAATCTAGTTTAAAATCATTCCGACCTAAAGACCAAATTGACCTGCAACATACACATGTTAAGAAGTAATTTTGGAAACATTTTGTTAATATAGTGAAAAAAGAGCATATATCACACGAGAATATCTAAGAGCTCATGGAAAACAAAATCAACAGCAACAACAACAACAAAAAAGAATTAGACAATGAAAATTTCTTATAGAAGATGAAAAGAACCTGTATTGTTAGGTACAATGATATTCATTCATACCGTTATTTTGATGGGGTCACACTTTGTACAAGCATCTACAACAAACTCAGCTTCTCCGTTTTTATCTGTCAGGTCCAACACATTGGGATCTCTGTCCTCTCTTCTCACATCTATAAAATTACCTCCTACTTTGCCTTGGGCAGAAATCACAATCGGAACATTCCTCGCTGGTTTTTTGTTGGGGTGGGTGACCTTGACCTAGGAGGCGATTGAAGTTATATGGACGTTAGCAAACATTATCCAAGAATACAATCCGACAAAAGTCCTTTTCAATCAACCCCGACCCCCCCCACCCCCGTCCCCTGCTGGGAGATCCCTGGTGCAAATCGTCTACTCTGCCTCAAGTGGATTTGTGCTTGGTTGTCCCGAGTTCATTCCGCACCGCGCTAAGTAAACAGTCAACTGGTCAGACCGGCCCACCCCACCATCGGGGATTCCTGTTTCGTTTCTAATTGATGTATCTGTTGTTCTTTTTTAACTTAGTGTCCACAGAGTGAGGGGGTTATTTAGAACGACTTTAACGCTGTAGTGCTAAAAACTCTGACCGTTTAAATTATTAGAAGTTTTGTAATTATTTATCTAGTTACGCTGTACTAATATTTACCCGTCAATTAATAAATCAATGTATTCATTGTTTTATTTCTTAAATTCAGGCATTAATCTCGAATTGAAAAAAAGAAAATAAAAACACGATACAACCCGTCCATACCTTCACTACAAAACGCAGGCCTGGTTTAAAGTACTTTGGTGTGTCTTTGAACTGTATGAGATACGGACTTGATGTAAACTGGCACGATGTATCCACAACAGTTGCGGAGTTGCCAGTCGCCCGTTCTATAACTTCCGCCCTGACCTGAAGTCTGCTCTTTTCTGGAAACCATAAGTCTCCTGGAAGGTCCCGGATGACCTGAACTTTCACTGGTATGGTGGTGACTCCACTTGAGTTAAGCTAAATAAAAGAAAACAACGACGGGCAATGTGGTGGTGACATTTCTACGGTCAGGAATTGACGGGACAAAAGTCAATACGCTTATTAAGACAAACGTTTTCAAACTGATAAATCCAGCTGCAAGTATTAGGAGAGTGTTTAAGTCCAAACGGCAATACAAAACATTATCCGTCGGGGTTCACATGAGTCGAATTACGCAGAATCTAGCCTGCGAGCAGGCTCACGTTTGAGTCACACGCGCGAGCGGCGGAGAGCGTAGCGATCCGGCCGGGACGCTTATATCTAGGGTGGTGAAACGAGCGGGTCCGAGCAAAAATTGTGATGCAGTAGACTGGGGTCTACTAAGACGAGCAGATTCCGCTTACTTGCACTCGAACTTAGATTTCTATAGAAATTCCACGAGACTCCCTTCTATATGAATTAGCAACTTCTTTTGGTGCATATTTTGTTCTGAGGCAATGGGAAAAAATGAGTTTTTCAGGGTTGAAAACAGGACTTCAAATTTCGCGCTGTGAATGAGTAAGATCTGCTCGCGCTAGTTGTACGCGTAAGTTCGTGGCTTAAGAATAGAGTTCATGGAAGAAAACTCTCTACTCTGGTATCGAGTTATTTCTCAGAACAATGTTCAATCATAACCAAAATCTGTTTCGATAGTTTCTTATTGTTTCTGCCCGTTTGGCGAGTTTGCAGAAGCTTTTAAAATGAAAATAAATCTGACGCGTTCAAGGAGCTAATTTGCATAGTGCAGCGCGTGCACTTTCAAGTCCGAGTCGCTGTTTTCAATTGTCAATATAAAATCTTGACAAAGATCATTTTCGTCATCTTTTGTGCTGAGATGATGCAACAATTATCGCCAACGCTATAAGGTTACTAACATCATGTGTGTTTCTTCAACATAGCGAAATTTTATACTGCGAAAATGAAATAGACAAGGAGTTTTGAGAACTCAAACAACAAAATCGAAATTGAATCGTTATTCCACAGGTCACCCAAGCGTAATATGAGAGTTTGTATGGAGAACTGTGGCTAAAATATAGGAGTTTGTTTGGAGATCAGGAGTTAACATTAAATTCGTTCTATGCATGGGTAATTTACCGAATAAAGACTCTTGAACATTCAATTGTGTCATTTTTTCTCATCCTGGAGAGTTTAAACGAGTTTTGAGCGAATTGTGAAAAAATTTGTCCTACGGTGTTATGATAAGACTTGTCTCTTATTATGACACAGTGGGACAAAATTTTCAAAATTCACTCAAAACTCGTTTAAACTCTCCAGGATGAGAAAAAATGACACCATTGAATGTTCAAGAGTCTTTATTCGGTAAATTACCCATACATTGAACAAGTTTAATGTCAACTCCTGATCTCCATACAAACTCTTATATTTGTGAGTACAAATAAATGGTTGTTGTTGTTGTTGTTAGCCACAGTTATCCATACAAACTCTTATATTACGCTTGGGTGACCTGTGGTTATTCGAGGTTGATTGATGAAAGCGCTACTGTAACTGTGCTGATTGTTTCTGTTTTCTCCCCATATTTTCAGCTAAGCTTTTAATGTTTTCTCAAACATACATCAGTCTTAAACATATTTAAAGCTAGAGATATTGTTTGAGTTCGATGTACGTTTTTACACGAAAGAGCGTAATTGAAGTTCAATTTGTCATGCCAGTTAGCTACAAAACACGGATCGGCGGGCGATCCAGCGTTTTCATCGACAACCAGCGATTAATTGGATTTTTACACAAACAAATTAAAACAGAGCAGTATTTACAGACGAAAGTTCTTATGCCTTGATGAGGCATCACGTGTTGCTTGCAATTGAGACGAAACTCAAACAAGCAAAATTTTATTACTTTTCGGTCGCGGTAGACTCTATGGCGAAATCCTTGCAAGCGTGTGGCAAGGGGAAAGGAACTTTGAAGTTCTAAAACGCCGCTATATCCAAATATATCCAGCTAGTTTTTTACTATGTTATGGAAAAGCTATCGATCTTCAACATATGTAAAATTTAGAGTAGAGTAATGTGGAGTACTCGTAAAAGAAGAAGCGGATCACGACTTGGTCGTGATAAGCGGGACATGTCTGCGTTCGACACTGTCTTACTTCACTCAAATTTGGGCAGCCTACGACGAAAATAGTTAAGTGATCTTCCAACAGACAAAATAGTATTGAGCTGTGGGCCAAAAGCACAAAAAAGCCTTTTGAAAATACGCCACTGGTGGCTCAAAAATAAATAAAGAAAACTTGATTTCAGGTTCGTTGAGAGGAAATTTTTGGCAGCCGTTAATCTCACCGGAAGCGTGGAAGGAGCGCTCGTGCCAGTCCTTTTCCGCATCACACATTGGACTAAGAGCGGACTGCCCGTTTCACCGCCCGACCTTTTTCCGCCCTGGATCCGGCATTTCGCGCTCGTGTACTAATCTGTTCCCGGTTGTGCAAAGGCCGATATGCAAATAATTTTACCACCCAATGGAAAGGCGTCGAAAAAAACCAACAGTGTTGACCACGGGATATGGGCGGTGTTATTCACTTCTTTGCGGGGAAATAACTGAGGAAATAACTTACCATAGGGCGATGTCTTGAGAAAAGAATGATCCGGCCGTCAACTGCCGCAATACTCATAGAGACAGCTACGTCGCCAATAACAGGTTTTCCATATGTGTACCTTGAAAATAATTGGACAAAATGTCACACCAACAGGTTACACGTATTAAAATTGTCACACTTATTAATAATTCACAAAGTTTGAATATCTGATCTTAATAAGCGTGATTTTTACGGTTTGTTTCTATGTTTTCTGTTTAGTTTTAGTTTCGATTGAGAAGATACCATATCAGACACTCAAGGCCATAGTTTATCAGTTTCCAAACACCTCAAATTAAAGTTCGTCAAAAATACTCCGCAGCGCATAGTGTTTTCAACTGTCTTCTCGGTGTTTGGAAATGTGGTCAAACATGGTCTTTTGTCTTTGATATATGACTTCATTTCTGAAAATAACTGGCTTACCGTGACAACATTCACGGTGGTTTAATCCCGGAGGGACTACCATATGAAAAAGTCAGAGATGCTTGTCGGAAAATTTGAATTAAACCCCTAAAGGACAGACCAATCTGGATGTGGTTCAAACTTTATTCCACCGCTAAAAGATACCACTTAAAACGAAAAAGGTTCGATAACCAGCCGCTGTTCAGCAAAGGAGCCCTCGCTATTAGACCGGACTCGAGAGACCGGCGGAAATGGAGGCAAAAAAAAGGAAATAGGAGAGTTTCCTTTATTAATAACTTTTCTGTACTTTGACAGCTAAAAAAAAGTGGCGCTTTGTCGACAACACCCTAAGTGAGACCAGAATCCTTGATTTATACCCCTAAGCGAGACGACGAGCACCCCCGACCTTTTCACATGGGAGACCCTCCCGGGGTTTTAATAGCTCAAAAAAGAACTCGGATATCATCAATCATACCTGGTCGTTACGTCGATCTTGATTTCATTATCTGTTCTCAGTATGTAGGGGGGCACCGAGAGCTTTACCGAGAACTTGGGAAGAACTGAAAGTTCATGACAATGAAAGTCAGAATTATACAAAACGCGAAGAGAACTACGACTTAATCAATAGGAAAACAAATCTTACCATATTCCTTCACCTCGAACTGGACAGATGTATTGTGGATATTCTGTAAAAATTATTGAAAGAGGGAATTGTGTTAATTTTTCCTTACCAAGATGTAATACTGTTACATACGGGAGACATAGTTCAAGATATATGGGACCTTTCATTTGGTCGAAGCTGCATAACTCTATACAATTGGCTGACTCCTTAAATGCTTTTAAAAATCAAATCAGGGCGCTCGACCTGTCAGACGTTGTATCGCAATATAAATGTAAGGATTGCTATTTATGTAGCAATTAGTTTTTGTCGATTTGCAAACTGCATTTATGTAGGTTTTCTTTTTTTTATTGTACATATACTAGATTGTAAACTTATTTTATTTATTTATTTATTTATGGAGTAATGTAGATAGGTGTCCCCAATTAGTTTTTATTTGTAAAAACTAGAAACAATGACACGATAATAAAGTTATTATTATTATTATTATTATTATTTTTATTATTATTATTATGGAAATACGATCTCTCAGGATAAACTAGAAAAGGAAGAAGTAATAGGTACTGCTTCTAAATTCCTAATTTCCCGAATTTCTTATATTTTGTACCATTCAGTTTGAAAATGCTTCATTTGCCAAATGGAGAAAGTAAGGTGTCTGGCTACTTAGAAACAAAATGTGGAGCAATTCCCAGCAATTTCCACCACAATACAGATTTAACTTCAGACGGGTGCACCAGTAATGGTATGGGGAACAAAACATGTACGTATTTGAACACTAAGTTGTCGCCCGTACGCCCTCATCTCATACAATGAGATGGACTGGGGAGAGAAGAGCAGGGGGTGTCGCCATCAATTCATAATCATCATTTCATCTGTTCTTAAACATTAAGCAGATTCAAAATGCAAACTAGATCAGCCTCGTCCAATGAAACTATATATATCCTAATTTTGAACCGTGTCTCATTTCTGGAAATGTTTATGTCATTCAGCCCCATGATAAAAAGAATAAAACACGGGAAATGAAATACCTGGTGACCGTAAACGGCCGTAATAGTCCAGTTGCCATGGAGAATAAAATCGCCCAAGTCAAGCCTCTTCGATATGATTCCTTGGTGAACAAATAACAGTATAATAAGTCGGAACACGTATTTTCAAAAGTTTATGATGGTATTTTACAATAAATGTTCCTGAAATTTACGAATTGAGACTGTAAATAGAAAACAAATTCTTAGAGAAATTCCGTGTTGCGGCTAATTCTAAGTTGGTCAAGGTTTAAAACCTGTGCTAGTGTCCTGGTCTTTCCATTGTTGCACTCGGATCCCCTGAGGATTCTGGAGTAAAAGAAGGAAAAAGAATTTGTCAAAATACATTACCGGGGCCGTAAACTCAGTTGGTCAGCCGAAAATGTCAACAATAAAGTTAAATTAGAATAAGCTAAAGTGAAAGAAAAAAAAGGAGGAAGAATTTGCCAAAATGGTCCTACTGCTGAGAGTTGCCGGGGCAGTAAACTCAGCTGGTGTGCCAATAATTTTACTTTACCAATAAAATAAAGCTAGTACATTAAAACAAGTAAAAGTTGATAGTTGATGTCCTTACTTTGCTATGCCTTCGGTTGCTCTTAATTACATGGTTAAGTCCAATGTAGTCCAACATTGTACCCTGTCATGTTATTCTTCTAGTTTGTTCAAACTTTATGGTTTGAAATACCTTTAGGTGGCTTAGCTGTGTTTTTACAGTTCATTATTACTAAAAATACCTCTTGAAAGCGCAAACAAAACAAAACAAAAACTTACCATAACTATCACAGTAATCTGCATAGAGAAACAAAAGAGATAAACAAAGTAAGATAGCTGGTATTAAAAGTGCTTTTCGGCGATTTAATCTTCTCCAAACGCAAAATGCAACAGGGAACTTTTACTCTGTGCTAATCTACGAACCGCGCTATTACGGCAGGAAACTGGCAGTACGCAATCGGGTGAATTCTTCCCGGGGAGGGACTTCCATACAAAAAAGACGGGGGTACTCATCAGAACTTTTTAAGAGAAACCCCAAGATGTACCAAGATCCTGTTTTGCGGGAGGGGTTTGAAATTTTTTCCACCCCTGAGAGGTACCGATTCTAGAACAACCAGGAACAACACATTAAGTGACATTGACTTTTTTCAGCTCAATACTCTAAAAGGTACCGTGAAAGCTCCCGCTGTGAGCCTTTTAAGGCTGAACACCCTGAGAGGTACCAAAACCGCTGAATCCCTAAAAGGTACGACGAGCAACCCCGCCCTGTTTATATGCGAGTACCCCCCGGGAAATTCTTAGGCACACAGTGAATTGTAGTGAGGTTAATCTTGCGGATTATCACTTATCTCACTTTTTCATGCATTATTGACATAAATTGGAAATCGCATAGCCCACCAGTAATCAAAAACGAATATTGCGCACCTGTATTTTCTTAGTTGGTGTGCTATAATTGATAACAATTAAACTTTCGATAGATGTGACGTTTAAAATGACATAAAAGGCGCTAAATAATGAGCGAATACCCTCATGCTTCTCCTAAGTTAAAGCGCATTTTTCTTAAATATTTCAAGGCATGCGCATCGAACATTTACGAAGAATGAGCGACATCCACCACGACTTCGTGTTTGACTGAACAATATTACGAGAACGACATCAACAACGAGAACAGACTGAACAGTAACAACACAGCGGTGAAAACAACAGCAATTATGGCAACAGCAGCCAAAGCCTTCATAACAACGCAAGATGTACGTCTAGGTTTGATAACTCGACTTAAAACAAGCTCGAGAACACATTTTTGTTTGTTCATAAAAAGTCAGTTTTGTTTGTTTAGTTAGGCGAAGTTGAATAAATAAAGCCATAAAAATGAGACTTCTCTCAGTGCAAGTTTTGGCATTTTCACGCTAACTGAAGCAATTAAAGTGAAGTAGAAACACCGCATAGCGGATGTATCAGCACAGTAAAGTACTGAAGCGAAAAGACAAAAAGAGTTTGATGAACCTGATGAATAAATCAGAATGGAAGAATTCCTTTCCTTACCTTTCTTCGTGATGGCTTCATGTCAAACTCAACGGGAATTACTCGGAATTTCACTACAGAAAAAAAGGTAATTTCGGGTAAGCGGAGGTTAGAACTTCAATGATAGCTAATGATGTGAATGATAAATACAACACTTGCCATTTCACTGTTAAAAAAATTAGGGTTTGCACTCCTTTATATTTGCTTCAGTGCTTTTCTTTTCTTGCTTTCCTACGTATGAAGCCTGGCCTAAATTTGACAAGATTTTACTTTTCACAGCCATTGAAAGGGTTTAAAGCAACTTCGTTAACAGTTTTTGTGACATTATTGGGATAATTTAACTTCCTATCAATGGATATACTTGGTACTGTAATTTGTCAGTTTGGCACAACAAGTTAGCTACAAGCTAGCTAGCTACAAGGGAAAGTCTTAAAGGACCTTAGTTAGGCGTCGAGTTCTTACCGCTCTGCCTGGGAGTGTAGACTGGTTTGTCTGTCTGTATGAACACCATTCCGTCTCTGTAGCTCAAAAGAATCTTCGCTTCTTTTTGAAACTGGAAATGACCGTCATCTGACTTGGCCACAAGATAAACGTACTGCTTATCCACAGAGTTCGTATCTGGTAAGTTCTCTGGCTCCACCTGGAGATAACATGGCAAGCACCGACATCAAAAACTCTTCAAGGTCCTACAGTTACGCCATCAAAATGTCACTTCAATATCATTTGTTGATCTGTCTAACTTTTCAGTATCTTGACGTATCTTGACGTTGGAATAGAAATACAAGGCTGATCAAAATGCTCTTAAATGTGTCTATTCAATTAATTAAACGCCAATATGAAAATTGCAGGCAAGACACCCAAGGTCGCTGCAAAAATTGCACGGTTTTCTACTCGTTTCGATGACATACAATAGTCTTTTCATTAATTTATAAATGAAATTCACCCTTACCTTCACGGTCAGAAAAATATTGCTTCCTAGAAGGGCAAAAAAGAACATGAGATTAGAAGTACTTGTAAGCAGGCTGTAAGATGGTTCACCGCTCTCCCCCTATTGGTTTTCAGGAGGGAGGAAAACCGGAGTACCCGGAGAAAAACCCTCGGAGCAAGGCGAAAACCAACAACAAACTCAACCCACATATGACACCGGGCCACAATGGTGGGGGGCGAGCGTTCTCACCACTGGGCCAACCCTGCTCCCCAATAAACAAGATTGTATATAAACGAGATCGCTGTAAGGCGTGGCTCTAGTAAACGAAATTTTTGCTATGCTTTTGGGCACGCTTGCAATTGTACGAGCGCCAACTGTGATTCAGCGAGTGTCCTACAAATACGATTGTTTGCGCATCCGATGCGCTGAGCATTTGTGCTGTTTCTTGCTCCTGTTGGCGTTTTAAGAAAGAAAATTCACCTTTGTCTACAACTCCTTGTACTTGGGAGAATGTTTTTCGTCTGTGTGGGAAGTCCTGTAGATACAACTTCACTGTCACGGGTTGAGCATTATCGAAAAGGGAAATCGACACTTTTTCGTCGACTCCAATGTGAAATACATTAGGAGCCATGATGGAAAATCTGCAATAAGAAGAAAGAGAAAAAAAGTCAATCAATCATGTATCTTAATCGAATTGCTCCCTACAGCCTTTGGAGCAGAGTATTAATAGTGAAGGGCGAGGGGCCGAAAGAGAAGGGAATTCCATCCCCTGTTTTCCACTTGTTCTCCCTCAGCCCCTCCCAGCCTACCCTACTTGAATGCTGCATGATCTGTTGACCCTGAGACGTTTTTAGACTGTCCAAAACACGCATAAATTAGTACATGGTTTGAATTGTGTGGGCATGCATTAATTTATTAGTGCAAGGATCTCCAAAGGTACGCATCAACCGGTTACATCATACCAAAAATGATCATAAATTTGTGCAAAACCGAGCATAGCAACTGCCCGTGCGAAAATTACAAAATGTAATGTGTAATGTCGCCCAACGGAATTCGAGTGCTAGGGAAGTCTACACTATCGAAACCTGAACTAAGCTGTGCTTTTTTTCCTCTAGGGCACGTGGGACAAAATGTACAAGGGAAAAAAAATCAAACTCGGGAAGTATTTTTCATTTTTAAATTCCTCTTCTAATTACATCTGGAGATATTGGCAGAGTTTTAGCGGAAGATAACAACCCACCCTCAACGCGAAATTGTAACTTCCGGTTTCACAACAGCCTCCACGGCAAGGCATCTGGCGTTTGGGCGTACAAAATTGAAACCTAACTCGATAAATGAATATTTCATATAACCTTTTTTTACTGCTAGTGTTTCTTAAAACTGATAGTGATTGTAAGAGGAAAAGAAGTCAACCCCAAATTACCCTTGAATCCCATAAATTTATTTTAAATTTCCAGTTTCAGAGGAGCTTCATGATCAACTTCGGGAGTGAAGCCGGGCTATCCACGTAGGCAGATCACAAGTTTGTTTGCGGCAGTTTCGCTTGCACGCATGTTTTCCTCACCCAGTTAGTGATTAAAACAAATAAGACCATGATGCTGCTAGGTTGGACAATTTTGAATCGCATATTGAGAAACTTTATCACGAAGGAAGAGCTGACTGAAACCGTATTTCTTCCTTTTCCTCTTTGCGTGTTCGTTTGTCTGCTTACACAACAGCATACGCAATGAATCACTCATAAATAAGGAGATCGAGTGCTATTATTCCTCATACCCGCTACATAGATGGGTTTGCTGAACTGTCAGTTTAGATCTCAGAAGCCGTCCGATTTCGCATGGCCTTTGAGTGACTACATAAAGTCTTCTTCATTTGTTCAGCTTAGCGGCTCTTGAATCGCAGAAATTAAATGACTGCTGAATATAGTATTTTGTGCTTTGTGGTCTTGCTTTCACTCACTTAAGAAAATCAACGCTTTTCCATTTGGATTGCAATCGTTTGTTATGCGTCTTTGACTAACGATTGAGACTATCGTCATTATCACACAACATTTTGAGCTTTGCGTTACTTTGACGTAACCTAAGACATTGCGAAATATCGCTGATAGATTTTTTGAAACAACTCTAAAGTAACTTACCGTTTGGCGGATATATATCCTGTCGCAAGAAGGAGCAAGCTTACTCGAAACACTGTACCAAATAGCTCCGCCATGCTTGCAGCAAAGCTTGGGGACACTGAAGTCTCTTCCTTCAGTGCTGTGCTTAAAAGGCGTGTTCAGATGTGCTGAGACGCGTCTCCCAAAAACTCGTTGAGGTGCTGACAGCTAAGTGCCAAGTTTCTTTATCGTATTTCATTTCCTTTCTATCATGAGATTTCGAAAATGTGTTCAAGGTCATGACAGTAATCTTATTAAAATGTGGAGATATGGGAATAGGAGATGGGGGGAGAACTGTGAGGAGACAATTCCCTGTTGTCTGTAAACGTCATGTGGAAATTAGTGGGAGGTTAAACTGAAGGAATTTCTAACCCGGCGTTTCTGACACCCGTAGGCTATATTGCTTATTCTCTCTTAACATTCGACGCAAACCAAATTGCAGCCTGTAACAAATCTTCAATGGTCTCATGGGGCGGGCTTGTTCCAAGACTAATTTCAGGATTGTTCTCACTACAGTTTGCGCGGCCGTTTTCGCCATAGATGTGTGTAAAAAAAACCCGGGGAAAAAACACACCGTAGATCGTAAGGTTAAATTCGTTAAATTGGTGCCCCTCGTTTCTCTCCTCGGAATTATCTTTGGCTTTGGAAGGTCCTTTTCCCAGGGCTAGTTTTCTCGGAAATCAAATCAAGTATTGATGATGGATGAAATTACAGAGTATAGATAGTGCTGAATCTCGTGGTGTATACACTTTGTTTTTCTCTGAACTGTTCATAAGTATCACTTGTCTCTGGGGGGGTACTCGCAGAAAAATTTGGTGGGGGTGTGCAGCCCGATTCCCAAAACCTTTACCCTATTTATGACCAAAATCTGCGTTTTTCCCTAGCCTATTTATGACCTGACCAAAAATTCGATACCCTGTTTATGACAGTTGCAGCTGACACAGTTGCCCTAAACATAAGTTTTGAAGGGCTTTTGCTTATGATTTTATCGATAATGATGTAAAGTAGCTTCTTCTAAACAACATACCCAATTCAAGACTAGAGTACAAAAACCATACCCTATTCAAGACCAAAATGGCCAAAATCGATAACCTATTTATGACCAAAACGGCTGAAAAACATACCCTTTGGGGCCCCACATACCTATATAGCCCATATAAGGGAGTAACCCCTCCCCCCCCCCCTCCCATCGGGCTTGTCTCTTTTGGCGAACAATTCCACATGTCACAGACCTTGGAAGGGAAGTAGTACTTATCGCATTACACAAAACAAGCATGATCTAATAACGGTTTGATCACCACGTGGCCAAAGACATGCAGTCTAATACAGGATATATCATTTCGCCCCCTCAATTCTATGTACCTGCACTTGGCATTCCTCCAGTGAGGTAGGCGCATTCGGGTTTTGCTCAATAGCAAAGGCATAGTATTTCACAGGCTGAGTAAATGATACTGTGTTTGTTTAGAAATTTTTTCAGTTTATTTTAAAGTCAGAAATTCTCGTCAAAAATGAAACGCTTGTGAAAACGGTATTTAATACTACAGCCGTGTGTAACAAGAAATTGTTCAGCTCCTTCCTCAGCATGTTCGCAATATGTTTTTTTTCCGGCTGGTCCTAAGTGTTAAGAATATAAATATCAGGAGCATGAAGAAAAGAAAACAGTTGTCTGAAGTTCGGTGCCCTTGTTGTTGACTTTTATTAAGAGCGAGACAAATTAGACATGACGTCATGACTGACACCAAGGGACCCGAGTAACCTGTAGCAGTGGAGATAATTCTTATCCAGTCAGTTATTGGGTCTGGAGAAGTTTACCTCACGATATGTGCTAAAACTAGATATCAACGTCACAATAAACCAAGCCGACGTGGACGGATTGTTCTCCAGTGGTCTGGCTTCCACGCAGGGGAAAAATGATCTCCTTCTCAGAATGGAACTGTTGCCTTTCCATACCCCTATGAGGGCATTATGGCGTTGTACGTGGACATTTAATATAGTCACGCCGAGCCTGAAATGTCCGTCATCTCCCGCCCTCAGCCTGATCCACGGACTGGGCGCGGGAAACGACTGACATGTCACGCCATAAACATCAGAACAGGGGTGGAAATTCTCATCAATCAGAAATGACAAAAGAAGGTCAACTTCATAGGAAGGAACACCATACCTACGTTTCCTTTTCGTCTTTGAAATCGTGCTCCGGTGTTGTTGATTCAGCGGAACGGAAAACCCTTTTAAACTTGTAAGTTCCTTTCCGCAACGAAGATTCTGTTTAATTCAATGCTGATTTAAGGTCCGGGATTTAAGGAACAAGTTGACAAAGGAGAACCGACAGGAAGTCTAAAGAAATGACCTTGTTCAAATAATAAACATGTTCAATTAAATCGTATTAATTACCTATTATTATGATTAGGTTTGTTCGGCTATCGTTGGCTAGATTTTGAGACTAATAATATTTTCTTTGAGAATCAAGTCGGACGTGGGAGAACCCTCCTTTTGAAATATAGATATTCAAAACACCGCTTTAAGCTCAAATCGACCAGTTTAGGTAATTAATAGTGTAACCTTGGTGAACTATTCTGACTCAATTGTCATATCCATAGTTCGAAATTGTCAGGTTGGAACGGGCAAGGAGCCAGAGAAAGGAAAAAGAGAGAGGTGATCACCTTCGACTGGCCATTTTCATTGAGTTGTCAATAAAATATTTTAGATTTATCTAGTCTTGAAAACGTGTGAAAAGGGAGGGAAGTTCTCTGAGATGGCCTTAGATAGTAAAATGCAGCTTTCGGCCACGAGTTCTGAAATTAGGATAGAGAATACTTGTCACTGCGTTAACAGCCAGGCACAACCGGACTAGAAACGAGACCAGTTAAAAAATACACAACAATGTAAGCCACATTGATCAAGTACTTATTTTCAAGTGAAATTCAAGATAAAGATAAGATAAAATTTTATTGTACACTCCTTAAAAGGCTTTTCAGTGAGCAATATAATACATGAGGTTCAACCTTCTTCCCCCTAGCCCCTACCCCCTCCCAAAGAAGAAAATCCCTTGAGGAAATCCTCCGTAAAACTACCACCTTTGACATTTCGCCCTGTTATGTCGTGACATGAATCATAGACAGATGCCGCGTGTCTGTCTGCACCTCAGCACATCGTTCCAATAGTCACGTTTCTTTATTTTAGTATTTCTTGTTACCAAAAACAAGTACACAGTCTACCCAAGCTTCGACCCAAACATGGCGGAGCTACATGGCAGAATGTTTCAACTAACCTTACTCCTAATTGTAATTGGACGAGTATTATAGCTACAAGGTGAGTAACCTGCGATCATACCCTCCCTCCCTTATATTCAGACGTGGGGAAGGAGAAGAAGTTTTCCCTTCTCCCTTTTCCCTTCTCCTTTCCAAAAAAAAAAAAGCCTGATCGCAGGTTACAAGGTGAGACGATTTGGGGTTCTCCGGGAGGAAGTAATTGCGTTATTTCACATTATGTCTATGTAAAAGACATGAAATCGGTGAAATCGTCAAATCCAAGACTGGATTTATGGTGAAATCTTACCCGAATTTTGTTCCCTGAATGTCAGACGCGAACGCGTAGGTTGCCAAAGAATAAAAACTGGACACACTGAATTTCCCATTCTATCAAGACTACCAATCGTCGGTCGCAGCGATCAAAATCGTACGTCCTCTATTTTCGTCTCAATTTTGATCATATAGACTTCCGGCCTGGGTTGTTAAAAGCCCAATTAAGCTAAGCCAGGATAAGCAGCAATTTTTTTTTCAGTTTTGCAACGTTTCGGTGAAGTTTTGTGTTAATATTGTTTGAGTTTGAACAATCTCAAACTACACAAACCTTAAGCAGTTAAAATCTCTTATATACTGGATAGGGGTGTTGCAAACTCCGTTATCAGTTAAGTTTCTGTGATTTCTCTCAAAATCTTAGCTATCAATAAATCTGGCACATCTCGGATCTTAGGCCCCGGTCTCACTATGCCGGAAAAATTTGCAAACGCAGCTTTGTTTCAGCGGTTAGACCTACGGTCCACACTAATAGGAAGAAATTGTCTTCTGAAGATGGACCTTCTCAAAGACACTTTTCAAACCGGCGGCATTTTAGAAAACGACGGTTTTGCATAATAATAACAATAATAATAATAATAATAATAATAATAATAATGACTTTATTAACGTGTCAAACACATCTAGCAGTGGAGAATCCCCACTGCTAATAGGGGACACCTAACTAAAACTATCTAAAAAT